GTTTGCTACTATTATTATAAATAGTACTCAGGCTGTATGACAAGAATATTATTACCTTAATAGCCCAAAAAAAATTTGAGTTTTCAGCTGATATTTGGTATGTATTAGATCTCGCTACTCAAAATAAATGTGTAAATTTAAAGTGTTTAGAGTCCCATTTCTCAAGACAAAAAAAGAAAAATAATTTAAAAAAAAATGTTTGAAAAAAAAAAGTAAAAAAAAAGCAAAAAAAAAAATATATTGAGAAAAAAAAATAAAAAAAAATGATTTAAAAAATAGCAAAAAAAAAAAACAAAAAAAAGCAAAAAAAGCAAAAAAAAAATAAATAAAAAAAATTTTCTGATAAAAAGAGAATATAATAATTAGTAAATATAAATTTGTAAAAATAATTGTTAAAAATATATAAAGTTATTAAAAAATATTTGTACTTACAATTTTCTGAAACTTTTTCTGCCAAAAAGAAAATAAAGTTATTATTAAATATAAATTTGTTAAATTATTTAAACTTTTAAAAAAAGTTTGTATTTATCATTTGAGCTGATGGCTTGACTACTTAAGCCAATAGCTCTACCACTTTAGCTAAAAAGAAATAAATTATTACTAAGCATAAATTTGTCAAAAAAAATTAAAACTTTAAAAAATGTTTGTATTTACAATTTGAAGTAGATTGCTTTTCTAAAAAGAAAATAAAGGTTATTATTAAGTATAAATTTGTCAAGATATCAACCCTTTTAAAGAAAATATGTATTTACCATTTTTTTCATTAGAAGATTTTAATCGCTTCTTTGCCTTTCCTATAAATGAAAAAAATTAGCAAAGCAAAAAAAATATATAATTAAACTTTATGATCACGAACCTGTTTATTTATTTCAGATTTAACATTATGTTCATCACCTAAAAAATATATATATAAAATATTTTAAAAATATATTGTAAAAATTAAAAATTTCATTAAAATATAAATATAAAATTCTTTATATTTACAAGGAGAATTCTAAAAACATATATTGAATATTCAAAGGCTAGTTTGCCCTTCTTTTCCCTAGGATTTTTAGACCTTAACAACTTTAAGTTCTAAATAAAAAAGAAAAAAAAAAATATTATATATAATATATTATTTTGCTTTTATTACTATTTTTATTATTTTACTTATATTGTATACAACAACTAATAATAAAAATTTTCTCTGGCATTGAATTTCAGAAAAATTCATATTATATTTATTGTTAATATTTTAGGCAATATCTACCCAAAATTCCTTCCTTGAATTATTCCAAATTTTGTGATAATTTTAAAGTAATATTACACGAAAGAAGACATGGATGATGATGATCTAAATGATAACATCGATCCTTAAGAAATCATATATGTCTTTTATGTCATCTATGATATTTATAGCATTTATTTCTTTTATATATTATATT